CAAAAACTCAAACAATCTCATCAGAGATGCAGTGACGTTGAAAATGGGATCTATGCAACATATTCGAGTTCTTAACACGGGATATTTTTTCTTTTACTAAAAGCAAGTCCCTAACCATGTCACATAAATAGAAACATATTGTTTTAATTGTGATAGTTAAAGTTTTTATAAACAATTAAAAACAAGATCTATGTAATCAATTTGATTTTTTTTAACTAAAAAAGAATAACAAACCGGAAAACATGAAAGGAAATAAAAGGAACAAGTTACTGACCATAAAACATGGATGAAAATGAACATGTTCTTTATTACAATTGTATCTGCTTATAATAAGCAGAAATCAAATATTACATTAACATTCGAATTTTTCCTGTTTATCATTAAAGAATACAAATTCGTCACCTTTTTTTCAATTTCATCATAAAGTAAGAAAGTTGTTCTATTAGCTGAAAAGTAACATTGTTTGAAATTTTCGTGCATCAATGCTTTCAGTTCATTACTGTTCATACCAGTCAAATAGCATGAAGACGTCATGATCATACAAAACTTATACTAGGTTGTATTTTACATTCTGGTTGGTGTTCTGCTAAAATTAATAATGCTATGTAATGACTAGCAAATTTAAGACTATTATCAAAAGTGGTCATCAAATTAAATAAAAAAAATAGGTCTGAGCACACTTTGTCTGTGCTACCACGACGAACTTCCCATTAGTAATTGTTTATAACAAATTTAAATAGTTGTAATCAATGTTTGTTGAAAACATCCAAATACATGTGATATACACATTACTTATTCATTAAATACAATTTTCAATTGTTTATAACAAATTCATATTGTTATAAACAATGCGTAATTGTTAAGAGTCATATTTGGTTGTGAACAATAATGTCTAGTCAATATCGACTTAATTTTCAAATGAAATTGTTATTGTTTGGCTCAAAAGTATTTTAAATAGCTAATCTTTTCATTTTTATATTAGTTATTTTGTTATAAAAAAAACGGCTCGATCGAATTCGTTCAAATTTCTTTTAAGTCTTCTTTATAATAATATTTTTCGAATTAATTTTGGTTGAAGATGATATCTTGATCCGTTCTTAAGATATCGAAAACGAAAAAAATGCTGACGTCCGTACATACATACATACATACATACACACACATCATTCTAAAAATATGTCAGTATGCTTGCAAATATCTTGAAACGTGGAGATTTAATGAAAATTCAAATTTCACCAATCGACCCAATTACAATAACTTCCTAATGGGAAGTTAAATATTTTCAATAAATATTGCTACACAGCCTGAACCTTGTGTGAAGCTTCCAACACAAAATCAGAATAAATTATTATTTATTTGAAATTATCTCTGGTATTAAATATGGTGTTACTTTCAAATGCTTTTTATATAGAATTTTGATTTGGAAATAAAATAAACCATGGATTAACTTAGTTTTCACTCCAAGAATTAATTATTAAATTGGATATCCAACTCCTTTCTTACAAAAAGTATGTTCATCATCTGAATGCTAATTTTTAACTTTGCGATAACTTTCAACCATTCACTACACGAATATTTGCAAAAAAATTCAATCATCTTAAATGCATGAATGAATATGTGAAATCAATAACTTTCTTCTGTTCAGATGTTATCGTTAAGTCCGTTATAGCAAGATCCTTCTTCTCATCATTAAAAGTTAACTTAATCAATGTTTCTTTGTAAGTATTAAAGTGGGCCGTTTGTGCAACTGAATAAAATATTGTTTTTATACAGAAATCAAGATTTGCGAATGTTGCTATAACTGAAAACTAACTTGTATTTGTCATCCTTGATAATTTATCGACAGATGATGTATTTCACTTTACATTTTAACGACACCAAACTTTCATCTGCAAGTACAAATAGTAACTTACTTTATCTATAATCTTGATAATCATTTCATTTCATTTACCAGTAACTGGATTGTATTTTTTAGTATTTTTATCAATCCACTCAACAAAAGTGTAATTGAAATAAAGGAGCTTGTTCGACTCATATATAACATCTACGGTAAATCCTTCGTAATGATCATTGCCTGTTTCCATTATTGAGGACTCAGCATATTAAATAACTCTAGCTAAAACAAGACCAATTATCCAAAAATTACTATCGAATCATATTATTATCAGGAACAAAATGAAAAACTCGAGAGAATTTACTTATTTGTGAAAATAAGTTTAAAAACGCTTATTGCACTAACTGATTATCAATTTATTAATGCATAAAAAATAATTAAAATTCGTTAATACATTAGTTAATTTGTTGATTTACATTTTTTCTTGGTGTTCCACTTTACCCCACCTTTCCCTACTACCAGAGAGATCAATGCAATAAATAATTATCGGCTAAGTCGAACATAAATATAATATAATTTTAATTCGCATATTAATTCGAAAACCCCGTAGATTTTGTATTTAGTGATCGCTGTAATGTACACTGTGATATTCCAGAATGCAAAAAAATTACGATGATCCGTTGTTCCTGGTGTAAAGAATCATTATTTTTAAAACTTCCTTTCAACCAATATCATAAATGTGGGACATATAATCATTAGATTAATCATTGCTCTGGTAAATAATGTTTGCTTTGAATTTATCAAAATGTCTGTAGCACTTTTCAATTTCTCAGTAGGAAGTTATAGTAATCCCTGCTTAAACAATCCTATTAAAAGAAGGAATTTCAATAAGACAATCGCATCGGAAATTTCCTATTGAATCCTATTGAAGGTTTTTTTCCTATAGAAATCGCCTGAATCATATTTATTTTCCCAATAGGAACTGAAAGAATTCAATCAGAATATTATTGACTTAGAATTTCCTATAGAATAATGCAGAATCGTTTTCGATTCTTCAATAGGATTTCAGTAAATTTGATAGGACTTTTGGAATAACAATTTTCTTATGAAAAAGAGGCAATTCCTTTCCGATTCTTCGATAAGATTTTATAGAATTCAATGGGAATACTGTTGTCTCAGAATTTTCTATAGAATCAGTAGGACTGAATGTAATTTGATAGGATTTTTAGATATAACGGATTACTATTCGATATGTGGAAATCCTTTTTAACTTCTTGGAATTTTTCAAAATAATATGACGCTCAGAGTTGATAATCTATTTTTTTATACAGGAAATATGTTGTCACATTGCTCGGAACATGCGCGCGTCATAATTTAATTATAGATTTTCACTACAATGTTATAATTTAATAATAATGTGATGTATTTATTTGAAGAATCCAATTATTATCCTTATTACATCACAGATAAACTTATACACGTTTTTCGTAGCTGACAATTGTATTTTTTATAAATAAGTACATTGTAAAAAAACATATCGTAATTCATGCGATAGATAATTTTTTTTTTAATTTCAAGAAACACTTATCATGAAGCTTATAAACTTTTCAAATAAATAATTCATTTTAAATATTGCTGATTCTTAGATTTAAATACTTAGCGTTCAATGATTTTAGAACTTTTTGCAGTTTCATCATTGTCATTATTGACTTTGATACATATCAACTGAAAATGAATATAAAAAAAATTTTAATTTATTTAGAAAATACTTTAATAATTAGTATATTAACGCTTAAACAATAGTCAACAGATACGGTAGTGATCGTTAAATCGTAAATTGTTACCATTTTGCCCTTACGTGACGATGAGGTACTACCATGTCCCTATACAAGTTATAAGATGATTTTTGCAGAATGTCTCTTAAAATTAAAAAATCTTCCTTATTTTAATGGGCTGAAATCAAGAAATTGCAAGAAAAGCAAATGTTAGCTTCTGATTAAGCAGACTATTGAATATCATCATTGCTTTATTCATAATATACAAAATTGAGGAAATTTCCCTCACTAACAGATTATAAAGTTAGTAACAAGTTATCTCATCAGAAACAACCCCCTTCTTCTGGGCTGTACGAAAATGTGCGCCAAGCATAAATAACGACAATGATGAAATTACAAAAATCCCTAAAATCATTAAACGCCAATTATTTAAATCTACAAATCAACAATATTTAAAATGAATTATTTCCTTCGGTTTTTTTTTTTTTTAATTTAGTACGTTTAATGACACAATAAACATAACAACCAAAAACTTGGCGTGACTATTTAGATTTTCTGGAAGCATAAAATTTCGAAAATATTAAAGCTAATTAATAAATAACAGTCATGCCAAGTTTATAATTAAGAAGAAAATGATTCATATAACATACATCAAAACAGACTTTTTCTGTTTACACCAATTAAAACCTTGTAAAGAAGCAAACATTGTATCTATATAAATGAGATTAGAGTTCCTGTCTGTGATTTTAAAAAACCTGTTCTAAAAAACTAAGCTCAGAGGGTTTTTCGCATGCTGTCAAAACGCAAATGACCATTTTTAGAACTTTTGTCTGTCTGCTCGAGGTAATCTCGGAAACGGCTTAACCGATTTTGTCGAAGTTTCATAGAATTTAGGCAACATTTGTAAATTTATGTTTTTTGCGACTTGTAAACATAAAAAAATGACGTTGGAACAGTTTCTGATATGCAAAAATTGTCCTTCATAAACATTAGATTTTCAATTTACTTTTTCTTCAGTATTAGTATGTTTACATTCCTATAATCTCTAAAAATTAGAATTGTACCAAATATAGTGATAGTAAAACTACTTTCTTTCTAGATTTTTACTTTCCCGGCCAAATTACTAAAGGTCATAGAAAATTTTTTCTAGAACGTGTATGTGAAAATTCAGAGTATATTCGCTTCGTGTATAAAAACAGTCGTTATTATTAATCAATGCGATAAATCTAGCATTTATTTCCTATAAAAATGTTGTACGATTATAAGTAATCACACATTTATTTCATAATTGAATATTACATTGAATTCACATAATTATGAAATTAATTACCAGAGCACTACAATATAAATACGTGCAAATGAATAAGAAACTTAGATACGTTTTTAAAAAAGATGGTGAAGATTATCTTCTTTTTAATAGTCACAGTCTTTGTGAGCGCGAATGCAGGAGGCCTCTCAATTCCAGGCGTAAGTAAAATAATCTATGTTGTGCTTTTTACAGAATCCTTTTGTATCAATTTATTATTAAAATATATATATTTATTCTCTTTATCAAAAAATTTATCAGACATTTATCAGTTTTATTAACTTTTTGTAAGAAACTATAACTTGTTATTTTCAAACATTCACAAGAGCTATTCAAAATATTTCGTTATTCTTTGTTATTACCAAGAATCATCTGACTCGATAAATTTATTAATATTAAACATGTTATTAATTTTTCCACGTATAGACCGACTTGCATTTCAAGCTTCTGACTGCTAATGTTACCGGGACACCAAATGAGTATTTGGAACATGCAGCAATAACAATTCACCCAGATGGTTACACTTGTGATGTAAATACTGTTATTGTTAAACAGTATCCAACAAATGTAATGGTCAGTTATCATTGTTTTTGATCATTCGAGTTTATTTTTTTTATGAATACATCGTTCGTTCTCAAAAGTTCAATTTTTCATCATTATGCATACAGTTGAATGTTACTATAACCTACGCTGGTATGGAAATGCCACCGATGAATTTGGAAGCATGTATTGCTTTTTACGAGCAATGGTTTGTTAAGGGTGTTATAGAAAAAGGTACACCGAAAGAGAAGTTTCCCCATAACTGTCCTATCGACCCGGTAAGTAGATGCAATTATTTTGAATCACTTATTTTTGTTTGGATATGTATGCATTGTAACGCTTTTTCTGGGAAGTTTTTTCCTGCTAAACCCATCAGCCCTATTATTCCAAGTTCAATTAAGAATGTTAAGGTTCCTAGTTATGTTTTTTCCCCCTAAAGTGATCAAACAGTTAAAACTTACCAATAACTGAGAAAAACATGAGCCTTAAAACTAATGCTAAAACTGAACTCTATATTTAATTTTACTGTGAATTTTTCTTCTCTATAGTTTGCTTAGTAGTAGATTTCACTTTCATCTTTGACCAATTTAAAATATATTGTAATGACATATAAACAAAAGCAATAAATTGAGTAAAATTGAAACTACATGATATGATAGCAAAAATCGTCTTGTTTCCTGTTTAATGTTACTTCACTAATAAATATGTTCAAGGGCAATTATACAGTAATGAATTATGAGGTCCCGAAAGAGAAAATTCCCCCAGGAACTCCTCCAGGGGCTGTAGACGTATTTGTCACAATTTATATCCCCGATGGATCAACTATTATGCATCTCCATGTAACAGGAGTACTTGAAGCAGGCGCATCAGGTACACCACAGCTGCCTCTAGGAAAATAAAATGAAGGAAAAAAACAGAGGAAGAAAATTTGAATCACCTATTTAGCATTGGAACTTATTAGATTTATAAGAGTGACGATATACAACTGACAGATGCACCTAAACTACATATACCAGTGGTTTTGTAAAAATCATTCTAATAAGCACATGATTACAAGAGTTATCTCTAACAAGTACAAGTCGTTATAAATTATTATTGTGTATCAATGAATTCTGTTTAAATAAGAGCAAACTCAAATTTTCTTTAAAATAGAAGATTTTATTTCATTAATGTTGTAAATATTCAATTGATCTTCAGAACATAATTTATTATAATTCATTACAATATCCCTCTTTTTATCGTTTGTTTTATTTCGCTCTTTTTCTCTTGAATATCCCGAGTTGTTGAATTTCGTCTGTTTCATGCCTAAAAAAAATAATTTTCTCTATTGTTTTATAAGAGTGACTGCTCGTCACTCGCGCCAAGTCACGTCTCCTGCCTTTACTCTTGCTCTCTCTATCTCACCCAGCCCGCGAGAGAGGAAACTTATACAAAAAATTTTGTCCTTTTCCTCACTCCGCAATTTTTTTTTTCGTTACTCCGAAACCATTGAATGTACAGGCAAATTACGCTTACATTTGACATATAAATCATACAAGAGCTTTCATTTAACTGCTCAAACTAAAAAGTAGATGAACGGTTTAAATTTGGTTAAGAGTTGTTTTTTCTGCAACTGTTGCTTTATATTTTTAAAAAAAAGGAAGGTTGCATTCGGGTAAACAGTTGATTGAACGTTGCATGTTAGTTAAATAACCATTTTTTTACTGCACATTGTAACTGCTGTTTTAAAGTTGACAATTAGTTGCCTTGCATCCATCAGGATCTCTTACTCTCTTATCTCTTACTCTTCATGAACAGCTTCAATGTTTTCACTGTCAACATAATGCCGAGAACCACTTCGATTTTCATCAGCAATGCGACAATGATTCTCAGCCATCATGCAGAAATTTTCAGAGAAGTTTTTATCAGGAAATATTTTATCTTACTAAAAATACTTTATATCATTCTTTGTCATTCATTTAAAAATATTTTAGTTACACAGAGAGAATTTTTTCACTAAATGTAACTGCAAAGGGTGACAAGTCCACGTTTCGAAATTCAGAAGTGAAAATATTTCTATTCGATAGTAAATTTTGAGTTCTTGTAAGTTCACTTGAGACTTAAAAGGTATCTTGGTGAAATTATTACTTAGGATAACCCAAAAATTATTTATGGTAACCCAAAACTCACTGTTGAACAGAAATATTTTTACTTCTAAACTTCAAAACGTGTACTTGTCACTTTTTACTTACAGTTAGTGCAAAAATTCTTTCCAAGTAGTCAACAGACATGAATTGATATAAGAAACAAAAAATGTTGTCATTTGAAATACATATCCGAGTCAAAAAATTGGGACTCATTTTGTCTTCAATTAGTCTTTAATCGAATTTCAATATATATTTGAGACTATAGGACTAAAAAGTCTTATTTTATCCGTGGTTTTCCATTATTAAGACAATTTGAGACTTTTGAGAAGTTTAGATTTTTTTAAAATCTCACTTTGTCCTCAAAAAAGTCTCATTTTGCTGTTATTGAGGAAAAAATGTGTTCTATTTTAAAATTGTTTGGTCCATTAAATGAGGACAGGATGAGATACATGAAACATTATTGAGACTTTGAGGCTTAATATTATTTTTCTATTTTTCCTCATTTTTGCCTCACACTCTACTTAGAGTAACGATTTATTATCAATTAATTATAATAAAAATTGCCAAGTATAATATTCGTACGAATTATGTAAAATAAAAATTTATTTTTTATTATTATTCTAAAATATACATTTCTTACAACTATTCTTAATTTTGTCTATTATAATCTACTTGAATAAGTATAGAATATATTTTTTATAAATTTTGTATCGTCGTATGAGAACTTTCGTGGGTAATTTGTTCATTTTTTTCTGATGAATTCTTGTTTATCGATTGATTATACGAATGATAATTTATTTCTTTCTGATCACTAGGTAATGAATAAGAAGAATAGTGAGAATAAGGATGGTAATAATTTTGATAATGAGTATCGTGGGTCTGATAATTTTGTTGGAGAAACCACTGGTATTGTTGATATTCATATTCATTCAGTTGGTATTTTTGTGAATTATTTGAGATAACTGGCTGAGAATTAGATGGCATTAATTGATTTTCTTTTTCTGATTCTGTATCTGCCATGATTTTATTACTATCATCATTATTATTTTCATTTAAATGATATTGTCATCGATTATTCGAGATGTCGGGTTGTGAATTGGACGATGTTGTGGGAGGGTTTTTTTCTTCTGCTTGATGCTCTACCACGATTTCATTTCTATTAAGATCTAAATTATCGTATTGATTAGTATCTTTTGTGTCCAGATGTATATGTCCTTGGCTTTCAGTGTTGAGTAGATTCTGTATTTGAAATCGCGAAACCGCATCAATTTAACGCACTTTTACTCTTTGTCAAGAGCAGAATTAGTGGCAAAGCTCGAGAACAGATAGACGTCGATTGCAATTTAACAACCTGGGCAGAAATTTCAGAACTTTTACTAAATTTATACCAAGATCGAAAATCTCTAGATCAACTGCTTGAGGATCTAAATAGTATACGACAAGGACGGAATGAAAATATTTCTCAATTTTATCAGAGACTTGAGGATCTCTCTTCTCGAATCTTAGCTGTAATTCATACTTCCGATTCAGATACAAACAAATTAGCAGGTCGAATTTCAATGATTAGAAAAATGACTCTAAATCGATTTGTTTATCACTCACATCCCCAAATATCTCAAATGCTCAGATATCGAGAATTCGAGACCATTAATAAAGCCCTTACAGCAGCTATGGCTGAAGAAAAAGCCCTTAGAATAAAATATGACAATCAAAATCAAAAATGCAAAATCTGCTCTCGCACAAATCACTCTACAAGTGAATGCTATTACAAAAATAAACGAAACTCAAACTCTTCTAAATCTATTAATTTCACTAATGTGAGAAGCTCAAATATTCAACAAAACCCACAGAATTATAATCAACAAAACTCAGATAAACAATGTCGTTATTGTAAAAATAAAGGTCATACAATCGAGGAGTGTAGAAAACTCAAATTTAATAATCAAAAAAGACAACACAATATAAACTCGAATCAAACACCTTCTAATTCTCAAGTAAACTACCAAAATATCAATCAAGATCAAATTCAAAATACAAACTTTAATAATCAAAATCAACCAAACCTTCAAGATATTCCAAGTCAAAATTTGATGACTTTTGCTCATTCAAATATCTTATCCTCAAATACGAATGATTTAACTTACGTATTATTCGAATCGCAAAACTCAAAATCACCTCAAAAAACACTCAAATTTCTTCTCGATACTGGAGCGTCAATTTCAATCGTAAAATCATTTAGCCTTGAATTCTACAATATGCTCAACAACAAAAGTATCATTCTTAATGGCATTTCAAAGAATGCACCAATCCAAACTCTCGGAGAAACATCCATTACTCTGAAAATAAAAGGATTTGCTATATCCGCAACATTCCAATTAATCAATGTAGATACAAATATACCCTTTGATGGTATACTAGGACAAGATTTCTGACGCACACACAAGTGTAATATTAATTATCAAAACTCAACTATTTCAATTCAATCAATACCATTTCAAATTCCTTTATTTAATAATACACCTCAACCTATAAATACGGTCGTTGCATGTCCAAGAACTGAAACAATTGTAAAAGTTAAAATCAATTCTCCTAAAAATCTCCAAGAAGGAATTATATCCTCTCAAAACATTAACCAAGATTCTTCGTTACTAGTTCCTAACGCCATTGTAAAAACCTTACCTGGAAAATATGCAATACTAACAATCATAAACAGTTCAAATGAATACAAACAAATTCCTATACCTGAACTAACTCTTGAACCAACTCCGGCTCAAACTCATATATTCTTAACCTATAACTCATCTCAAACTTCTGATAGAAAAAAATTACTCCAAGAAAACCTTAGACTCGATCACTTAAATGCAGAGGAAAGAAACTCAATCGAAAATATATGTCACGATTTCCATGATATTTTTCTTCTACCTAATGATACACTTACGCAAACATCTGCTGCTTCACATTCTATTAAAACAACCGACGAAATCTCTATTCACACAAAAACGTATAGATATCCTGAAATTCATAAATTAGAAGTAAACAAACAGATAGAAAAAATGTTGAAACAAGGAATAATAAAACCTTCGACTAGCCCATGGTCCAGTCCCTTATGGGTTGTCCCAAAAAAACTTGACGCCTCAGGTCAACGCAAGTGGCGGATAGTCATAGACTACAGAAAGCTTAATGAAAAAACCATCGGAGACGCATACCCGCTTCCAAACATTGAGGATATATTAGATCAGTTAAGTCATTCTCAATATTTTACCACCCTTGACCTAGCTAGCGGCTTTCATCAGCTACCATTAAACCCTGAGGATGCACCAAAAACAGCTTTCACAACTCCAGAAGGTCATTACGAATTTACTCGCATGCCTTTCGGGTTGAAGAATGCTCCTTCAAGCTTTCAAAGAACAATGCAAAATGTTTTGATTGGTCTCACAAATAAGCAGTGTTTTGTATACATGGATGACATTGTCATCTATGGCTCTTCATTACCTGATCATAATTCCAAACTTCTGAATGTTTTTCAAAGATTACGCACAAACAATCTCAAGCTCCAACCAGATAAATGCGAATTCTTGAAACAATCATGTATTTATCTTGGACATAAAATATCAAAAGACGGAGTCAGTCCAAACCCAGAAAAAATAAAAGCCATCGAGTCAATGCCTCCACTAAAAAATGTCAAACATATAAAAATTTTCTTAGGCATGATAGGTTACTACAGGAAATTCATAAAAGACTTTTCTACTCTAGCTAAACCACTGACAATATTATTAAAAAAGGATACGCCCTTTGAGTGGTCCGAAGACCAAGAAAAAGCCTTCCAGACATTAAAAGAAAAACTAATAAATAATCCTATCTTACAATACCCTGATTTTACATAAACATTTATTCTAACTTGTGATGCTTCTAACGTCGGTATAGGCAGTGTTTTATCACAAATTAAAGATGAAAAAGATTTACCAATCTCATATTATTCGCAAACCTTGAACAAA